CTCAGGCCTCTTCTGGGCTGTCACGACCCCAAATCCCGGTCGTGATGGCGCCCTGCCGCAAGACTAGGCAAGCCCGACAATAACAACACAACAACGACATTATAGCCCAATATGAAAACAACTGAGAATAGAATAATGTACTGCCATAGATAAGGGCTAAACTGAAGATAATAATTCAGAATAATTTCACCACATCCCCAAAACCGAGGGGTCACAAGCGTAGAGCCTCTAACACAATACAAGAACTCCGACAGAAATGTAAATACAGTATGTGATAAGCCAAAAGAAATGAACTAAAGATGACAGAGTTTGGAGGTCCTGCGGACGCAAGCAGCCACCTCGAACACTGGGAACAGCTCTGGAAATTACCGCAACTGCGACGGGGCCCAGCTGCACCTGAATCTGCACACAAGGTGTAGGGAGTAGGGGGTGAGTCTACCAACTCAGCGAGTAATGACAGTAAATAATAACTCGAAAGTAAGAAAATCAGATAGAGCACTAAGTACAGCTAACCTCGTCGATTATGCATACAACAATGTCCAGCAATAATCTTACGGAAACAGTATCTTTAACATGATATGCATATGATGCAATGCAATGCATGACTGCTGCGGTACGTGCAGCCCGATCCAATGGGTACCCGCGCTCACTGTGGGGGTTCAGACTCCGGAGGGGCTCCTACAGCCCAAGCGCACAATACTGCGGAACGTGCAGTCCGATCCAACATATGTACTGCTGCGGAACGTGCAGCCCGATCCAGCATATATACTGCTGCGGAACGTGCAACCCGATCCGGTGCATAGGCAGTCAAGCCAGACAACCATTTCATTTATGAAATCCTTTATTTCATTTATTATTAGAAAACCTTTCTTTCGTTTATATTCTAGAATTATGCTAAAGCATGTCAATTTAGTGTCAGAGTTCAGCTCTGAGATCATTCGATAGACAAGTCATGCTAATACAGTCAAAGAAATCCCTGAAGGATTCTACAGGTCGGCACAAGGCCCCAAACACGGCTTCAAGCCCATATCAATCCCTGAAGGATTATACAAGTCGGCACAAGGCCCCAAACATGGCGTCAAGCCCAGCTAACAACAGTATAATAATGCTAAACAGTCAATTCACAGCACAATATAACCTCTCGGATTGGGACCAAATCACAATTCACGTCACCTCCGACCCCGCACTACCCTGGAGTGCGTGTCTAGCCTCACAATAGCGGCACAAAGTGATAAACCGGGGTTTCAAACCCTCAAGTAGTCATTTACACCCATTACTCACCTCGAACCGGCGAAATCTCAAGCTCACGGCATCTTTGCCTACCAATTCGGCCTCCTCGCTCGTCGAATCTAGGTAAAAACAGAGCGAATACATCACAATATGCAAATGGGACAATACCCAATCGAAAATAACCGAGAAATAGCAAAAATCTCGAAACTAGCAAAACCCAAGCCCCGGGCCCGCTTCTCGAAAAATTACGAAACTTACATTTCCAGAATCCTCGTCTCGCCACAAGTCCGTACATATCAAGTTCATCAAAATCGGAGTTCATTTGTCCCCTCAAATTATCATTTAAAGTCTTGTTGGGTTTCAAGCCCTAACCTCCATTTTTAGCTTAATCCCATGAATTTACAAGTTAAATCTTCAAAGAAATGATGTTTCTAAGTCAAGAAACTTACCTCCAATCAATTCCCATCGAAACCCTCTTCATTTTGCTCCAAAAATCGCCTCAATCGGAGCTCTAGAACTCAAGTTATGGCCAAAACACTGAAATTTTCGGTTTATACACAGTCCGGACCGCATAAGCGGTCAATTTTCCGCTTAAGCGGACTTTTTGTCCTATCTGGGACCGCTACTGCGGTCTTTGGCCGCTTAAGCGGTTCCGCTTACGTGGTCAAAGTCCGCTTAAGCGGTTCTGACAGAAGCAGACCTTCTCCGGCACGGAAACGAGCATAACTTTCTCATAGCTTAAAATCGTTTGAAACCAAATTGAAAGCATAGAATCCGTTAATAACATATAAATATTGATCTAAAAATTTTAGAAATAATTTTATAACTATGAAACATAGTTAATTGCTAAAATAGGCCATAATTGCAATTTTGTGCAATTAGCTTTAAAAATTCAAAATAAATTTGTAAAAAATATGTTAAAAATTACATTAAATATATTTTGTTGTAAATATGAGAATGAAAATTATTGTGCACTAAAAATAATAATTTGAAAATAATTTTGGCCTTTGTATTGTTAAAAATAAGCAGTAAATTGGTTTTAAAAGGTCTTAAAAATTAAGAAAAAATACCAAAATTCCTAGGCATGCTTATATATGCATACATATACTATTTTAGAAGCATTTTGGAAGCAAAAATATATAGGAAAAAATTGGGTATCAACAACTCTTACATCTGAAAAAGCATTACTAAGAATATTCAATTCTTTATACATGGATTAGCTTGGAATGTCGGAACAGGCTATAATATAAGGCTTTGGGAGGATAATTGGATAGGCTCAAACGACTCCATATGATCAATCATAGAGGGACCACTAACACAAACCGACTTAATAAAAATATTAAATAATATTATGCCGCCTAATAATGAATGGGACTTCTCCCAAATATCTAATGAAATCCCTTCTAATATATTGCATATCATTAATAATACTTACATTCAAGAATCCGATCCAAAAATGGACTTATTCTTTTGGAAAAACACCACATCAGGATTCTTCTATACTAAATCAGCTTACACCACTTACCTTCACCACTCCAATCTTACTCCAACCCACTCGCACAATCTACTCAATGGGTATGCAAAATTGATGCTTTAAACAAGGTTAAATTTTTCATGTGGCTTCTTCTCACTAATAAATTACCAACCGCTGAAAACTTCTTCCATCGTAATATAATTCCGTCTACCACCTGTGCTTCTTGTCCAAATACTACTGAAACATTAATCCATTTATTCATAAATTACTCAAAAGCAAGATCCATTTGGGAGCATTTAAACTTGCACATTCCCGCAAATCATATGGATTCTCAAATATTACATCTCTGCACAGCACATACAAAATGCATTGTCATAAATAACCAATCACTTCCTTTAAACGTCTTAACCCCCATTATTCTTTGGTCCATTTGGAAAAATAAGAATCCAAGCCTCTTCCAAAATTCCACTAAACCAATAACTCACCATGACATAATATTCAAAACATTGGAGTATTACCACCTAGAGTATAAGCACAAGAAAAAAAATATCCGCGGAACCAAGACAATTCGATGGACTCCACCCCAAAGGGTTATTTTAAACTTAACATAGATGGTGCTTTTGATGTAAGCACAAAAACAGGAGGGGGAGGTGGTCTTATCCGAAAGAATAATATAAAGTGGATAATTGGGTTCGCATCTCAATACCACTCTCACTCTGCAGTTCACATGGAATTAATGGCATTACACAATGGTCTAAAGCTGGCAATGAACCATACATTAACTCCACTTATTGTGGAGACGGACTTGCAGGTATTACTTCAAATGTTGTCATCAAATAACTTACATTTCTCACATATATTAACGGATTGCAGGCATTTACTGGAGGAGGAGCTGGGCAGGCCACAGGTGGGCCATATTTTTTGAGAAGGAAATGTTGCTGCAAACAAGTTGGCCTGCTATGGGAAAGGCCGTGAGACGGAAATGCAAAAAAATATCATAATCTTTGTATTCCCTCCCACTTTTATCTTAGATGTACTAAAAGAAGATATATCTTGAACGGGGACTAAACGACCAATTTCTACTGTGTAATAAGTCTATTTCTTTTGAATAGAAGTTCCTTTCCTTAGCAAAAAAAAAAAAAAAAAAAAAAAAAAACAAAAAAAAGTTAAAAGGTATAACTTTTTTTACAAAAAGAAAAAAAAAATTATTTGTTACAGATATAGACCCTTAAGTTTGAATAATCCGAAGCATATAAAAAATATTGACTTAACCTTAATTAAAACACAATATCACTCTGACATGATAGTTTAGGCTTATTTTTAAATTATATAGCATTAAAGAAAATATTATAAGTATAAGATAAAACTCTAATCGATATACTTAATAAGATAACATGACTTGATTTTTTTTAATGCTTATATTCATACTATAACAATTGCACCCGGAAAAGAAGTTTCACCAATAAAATTGATAAAATCTTGTATATGATCAATAATGTCTCACGAGAAGCTAATTAAATCATATTAGCAGTATTATCAGTTGAAAAAGAATTATTAAAATAACTCGATTAAAGAAAATTATTGATAATTTTTCATCTAATTAAGTTAGAAAAATATACTAATTTTTTTTAAAAAAAAATTAAAGCCTATTATCAAATTTTTGCTTTAGGCAACCGATAATGTTGAGCCGCCCCTGCGTGTGGGGTGTGTTTAATTTATTATGTGAATATGTGAACCAGTATTGATTTGGTAGGTGAAGAGAGTGAAGAAATTCTAGAGTTTACATTGACTTTTTCTCGAAGCAGAAGAACTAAATTAAAAAAAATCTGTAGAAAAGAAGTCACCAAGATCAAGATTATGTTGCACGAAGAAAAAATCGTTATATAATTACTCCAAAGGAAATAAAGAACCTGATCGATATGTGGACTGCATGTAAAAGTCAATTCCTTGGGGTCATATTGCTGTTACATCTATGATATTTGGTATGATGTTAGTGAATCATTAGAATTTGGAGTCACCACATATACAATTAATTTACGTTGGTGGTGGAGTCAGAATTTTTATTAATGGGAGTCAAAATATAAAGAAACAAACTCACAAAAAAATCGATGAGTGTCATTTAATAGAATATATATACATATTTTTAATAAAATATACCGAGGTAAATAGTGTACTTTTTCGACGAAGGGGTGCCGGTTGACACCCCTTGAGTGCGTATGGCTCTGCCACTGATTTAGGCGTGTACCAATATTTTTCAAGGGAGTGTTCGTCGATCATACCATCAGAAAAATTGATATTGTTAATGTCTTTTCACCCCCAACCATTTAAAAAATTAAAAGCACCTACTAAAATCATTTATCAACCCGCTCTATCACCCGACCCATATTCCTTTTTGGTAGGTGAAGAGAAGAAATTCTTAAGTTTACATTGACTTTATTACAAAACATAAAATTAAATTCCAAAATTTTCAGTAAAAAACCGAGTCATCCAGATCAAGATTATGTTGCATGAAGAGAAATTAGTATTTTTCAAGGGAATGTTCAGCTACCTACCATGCAGACATTATTGTTTTCTTATGCGATCAACTAAATATAGTATTATTTAATTAATTGAAATTTTATGTTGAAATTTTTGTTTACGCAACCAGACAATCTCCTAAGATCATGAAACAAAAGAATATATGTCATTATCTTATCATGGTGTGCAAACATATTTCTCGTGTTAAATGCTGTACGTAGATACTATTGTGATTGCTTATTAATCTTAGATTAGTTGAGCTTGTTTGACTCAAAAGTTATTGAACACTTTTTATGCAAATCAATCAGAAGAGATGATGAGGTAAATCATAATCGAAAATAGTAAATCCTAGAATGAGCTTGATGATCGGTTTAACAACGATAGTAGATGAGATAAAGGCAGAGAGATAGAGAGACATAGAGGGAGAGAGGGAGAGAAAGAGAGAACTTGTCTATTAAGAAAGATCCCCCCTTTTACACAGCTCGGATCTCCTTTATATAGTAAGGGATCCCGGTCTAAGTATGAAAAGACAGAACTAAAATGCGTCACATTGGGGG